GACAGCGCCCAGGCCCAGAGTTCAGACCCTACGACTGGACCCAAAAAACAAAACAAAACAAAAACAACAACTAGAAAAACATGCTGTGCGTGTATGTGTGTGTGTGTGTGTTGCTGGGACTACAAAGTGGGCCATGTATACTCTACTACTTGGTTATACCTGTGGCCTTTTGAATTCCTACTTTTTAAACCTAGTTTTTACAAAATTATAAACATCCTCTATTGATCATCAAAACTTTTTTTTAAGCCAGTAGCAGGGTCTGGGTTCAGTACCTCATAGTAGTTCACAGCTGGTACTCTACCACTTAAGCCATACCTCCAGCCTAGCTTTTGGCTACTTAATTGGAGATAAATGATGGGAATCTGCAATTCCAAAAAAGTGCAAGTCCACTTTCCACCCCACACCCCTCCCCCCTCAAGGTAATATGCCCCTGACTTCCCCGAAGCAGGCCACAGCTGGCTGAACGGGACCTGCTCAGTGGGTTTGCAAAGCAGGTTCCCATTAACAGGCCTGTGTACAAACTTACAAAGCCCAACCAGAAACTTTCTGTGCCCTCCAGTTGCCTTCACGCAGGACCCTACTTAAGTCCTTCCACTCCTGCCCCAGCATGCCCTGTCTCCTGACTCTCCCTGTCTCAGGTACCATGGTGTCCCCCTTCAACTTTTCATTCAACTTCATTTGGTCTGCTGAGGTCAGTGTCTCTGTCTGTTTTCATTCTCACCTTTTCAAATCAGTCCTTTTCCCTAACAATAAAGTCTCTTGGCTCTGAACCACAATATTCAAATCTCAGCCTCCCGATTAGTTAAGATTACAGGTGTGAGCCATAAGCACAAAGCCTTTTGAAATGAATTTTAAGCTGGGCACAGGTGGTTCACACCTGTAATCCTAGCTACTGAGGAGGCTGAGATCTGAGGATTGAAGTTAAAAGCCAGCCTGGGCAGGGAAGACCGTAAGACTCCAATAAACCACCAGAAAACCCGAAGTGGCGCTGTAGCTCAAGTGGTAGAGTGCTAACCTTGAGCTGAATTGCTCAGGGACAGAGCCAGGCCCAGAGTTCAAGCCCCACAACCAACATACATACATAAATAAATAAATAAAATGAATTTTAAAACAAGAATATGCTTCAGTGAGAAGCAGTCATTTGCTTAACTGGCAGTAGTCCTTCATTTTACAAAAGAGGAACTAGAGATATCTGGAGGCTTAATAACAGCTTTCAAATTCTGTCTGGCCCCTCAGCAGCTCTTACAAGGGTGGGGGTGAGAAGGGGAAGCAGAGGGGTTCTTTTTGTTCTTTGGTTTTGTTGTTGTTGTTGTTGTTGTTTGAGGTTTTGGAGTTTGAACTCAGGGCCTCAAGCATGCTAGGTAAGTACAAGTACTCTACTATCTCCTTCAGCCTGCTTTAGTAGCAGTATTCAAAGCTTAGGTTCAAAATGAGCCTTCAATCACGTAAACTGACTATTTTTACCGGTAAAAATCAATTCATCGTGCAGGCAACTTTTCTCTTGCTTGAGGCGAATAATCTCTTCTCGTTGCTCATTATTTTCTGTTGTCTTTTCATTTAGGTCCTCTTTATAAATAAAATAAAAAGAAAGTCGTCAAATAAATGCAGTTTCCTCTTCCTATGAAGAGACCCTTCTTCCTGGGCCCCAGACTTGCTCATTTCTAGGCACTTCCAGCTCCCGTAACTTGAACTGTCCCACCAACAATACCTCTGGTCTGCCTGCAGCCCTGCTTCTGCCTGGCCTCACCCGTCACAGTCCCAGGAGACAAAGATCAATCTTTAAAAATAACAACTATTGCCGGGCGCTGGTGGCTCACGCCTGTAATCCTAGCTACTCAGGAGGCTGAGATCTGAGGATCGTGGTTCAAAGCCAGCCCGGACAGGAGAGACCGTGAGACTCCTATCTCCAATAAACCACCAGAAAACCAGAAGTGGCGCTGTAGCTCAAGTGGTAGAGCACTCGCCTTGAGCTGAAGAGCTGAGGGACAGCACCCATGCCCAGAGTTCAAGCCCCACGACCGACAAAAAACAAAAAAACAACAAAAAACAACTATTGCTGGGTGCTGGTGGCTCACACCTGTAATCCTAGCTACTCAGGAGGCTGAGATCTGAGGATCATGGTTTAAAACCAGCCTAGGCAGGAAAGTCTGTGAGACTCTTCTCTCTAATTAATGACCAAAAAGCCAGAAGTAATGCTGTGGCTCAAAGTGGTAGAGCACTAGCTTTGAGCAAAAGAACCCAGGTCCCGAGTTCAAGCCCCACAATTAAAAAAAAAAATCACACACATACACAACACAACCACACACAAAAAACCCCACACCAAACAACAACAACCCCACTATTCATGTCAGTTCTCCACGCCCTCCTACAGGTCTTAGGATGAAATCCAAACTCCTGACCATGACTGCCACGCCCAGCGACCTCACAGGGCCACTTCCCTACCTCCCCTGCCAGCTAGGCTCCACAGACCTTGCCTGGGAAGTAAAACAAGAGAGAGATTGGGGTTTTGTCCTCAGTTGTGTCCTTTGTCATTCAGAAGGAGCACCCCTGGTAATCCTAGCATTTAGAAGGTTGAGGCAGAAGGTTAAGAGTTTGAGGCCAGCCAGGCACTGGTGGCTCACGCCTGTAATCCTAGCTACCCAGGAGGCTGAGATCTGAGGTTTGTGATTCAAAGCCAGCCCAGGCAGGAAAGTCTGTGAGACTCTTATCTCCAATTAACCACCAGAAAACTAGGACTGGCACTGTGGTTCAAGTGGTAGAGCACTTGGTCTTGAGCTGAACAGCTCAGGGACAGTGCCCAGTCCCAGAGTTCAAGCCCCACAACTGACAAAAAAAAGAGAGAGAGAGAGAGAGAGAGTGACTAATTTTGTTGCAAGTATATATGAAGACAGTATGAAAACTCAATGGAAACAAAACAGGAGTTCAATGAAATATAATAGAAATTCTCAGCCCGGCCCACAGGCTTCCAGCAAGGGGACACGGAGCTCCACAGAGACGGCTGAACCCACGTGGGATCTGCGTGTCTACTAGGCAGGGAGTGGCACCTCAAGATGGCCCAGGAGCTGTGTGCACGGACGCTCATACTTTCACCTGCAATTCCTAAGTTGCCGCCTTTGTAATATTCCAGAAAACAAGCCTTAAGAGCCGTTCCAGCAGAAGGCCAAGCTTGAGGAAGTAGTGTGAATCTGAGATGTACAGTAGTTGGTCACAGCAGTTGGTCATAAGTACAAGACGATGTCTTAAGCAGGCAGTCTTGTGTAACTGAACCTGATTTTTTTTTCGGGGGGAAGGGCTGGTAATAGAGGTTTAAGTCTGGGCCTTGCACTTAATTTAGTTTGTTTTTTTTTTTTGTTACTCTACTTGAACTACACTTAACTGCTTTTTGATGATTAACAAGGTAAGAGTCTTGTGGATGTTTCTGCTCCAGCTGGCTTCGAACCACAATCCTTGGGTCTCAACCTGAGTAGCTGGGTGTACAGGTGTGAGCCACCAGCTCCCAGCTCACGTCGTTTAAGTTCCTGCCTTCACTATGGGAACACACATGAAGCAGAGCTGCCCGACTCAGACGCTTTACTAGGTAACGTTGAGACAAGGCAACTCCCATTAGCCCAACTTGAGTTTAATAGATACTGGGACTCACGCCGCTGAGGCACTGCTACTGTCTGTTATAGAGCGCGTACTGGCAATAGCTAGTAGATACAGCCATCCAAACCAAGGCAGGGTCATTGAAAAATATGGCACATTATATACTTTACCCAAGTCTGTTATATATCTTCTAACACAGAATGCCAACATAATTACATATGGATGAAACAGACATTTCATGTTAGAATTCCAAGCCGGGGGCGGGGGGGGGAGGGAGAGTGGCGGGGGGGGGGGGGGGGGGGGGGGGGGGGGGGGGGGGGGGGGGGGGGGGGGAGAGATGGTAAGGGGAAACAAAGGAGGAGGCAACAATGCTTGATAAATGCACTCATTACCTTGCCCATGTAATTGTAACCCCTCTGTACAGTATTTTCACAATAAAAAAAAAAGAATTCCAAGCCAAGAACAGAGCTACTGTCAAGCATAGATTAGGTGAACCCAGCAGGAAAACCATTCCCAAGAGGATGTCATTGTGTAAAGCCTCCTCACCTTTCAGCTTATGGACTTCAATCTTCAGAGTCCTCAGCTTCTGCTTGTAATCTTGCTTTTCTTTCACAATACAGGTCTCCACCATCTTAGCATCACGTAAAGCATGCTCTAGTAATTTAAATTTACCGGAGCAATCTGCAATGTGATTGACTGCCTCAATTATATCTTTGTCCTAAAACCAAATGAAAGACCATGATGTTAAATTTTAAATCTCAGCTCATCAGTAAGAAAGACTGCACTTGCTTAGACAGACTGCAGAAGCCTGCCAGCTCACTGAACTTCGCTGTCATTCTGCTGAGGGGCACGAGCAGACAGACACAGATACAGTCAGCCAGGGGCCCTGAGGGCCCTGACCGCACCTGACAGGGCTGCAAGGTTTAGAACCAGACAGTTCAATGACCGGGACAAGCACAGCAAAAGAAGGGCTGGCAGCTCCTAGATGTGGAATTACGGAGTGATTACCAACAAAATCCAGTGTCTCTTTCCTCTTTTCACCCTCTAAGAACTCATCATAATCTAGTCAATTATAACATCTTGCTGCAGAGCTGCTGAGATTATGGAAAATATATCTATTTGTTGAAAATCAACTTGATACCTACGAACCAAAAAAATGCTGTAATAATTCTTGCTGGAGTCATTACTGTTAACATGTTTCCCTCTACTTAAGCAGAAGGGTATCTGCTGCACTATTATGTATTCACTAAGAAAACCTCACACACTAGGGAGACCTATGGGAAGATATCAGGGTTGGGGCAGTACCAGACATGGGGCTATGTGCTGCAGTCCTACCTACTCAGGAGGTGGGAACTGGGAGGATCAAGGTTTGAGGCCAGTTTGGGCAAAATGTTAAGACTCCATCTCAATTTTAAAAAAAGCATAGCATGGTGGTTCACACCGGTAATCTCTGCTACACACAAAATGTAAGTAGGAGGATTGAAATCTGATGCTAGCCTGAGGCAGTAAGTACAGGACCCCACTTGAAAAATAAGTGAAGCAAAAGAGTTAGGGATGTAACTGAGGAGGCAGAACACTGGCCTAGCAAGCTTGTACTAGGCCCCGGTTTCAAACCTGAGGACTGCCAACAAAATAAAAAATAAAAGTTGACTCAAACCATTCAACACACCAGTGACAGTGGCATGGTGAAGAGACAGCTATGTGGCAGCACTGCCCACTGCAGAAGGCCAGTTCCTAGTGCCACAAACAAAAACAATGAGATCATGTGACTGAGCCAGCTTCCAGGCCTGCCCATGGACACGCCACCACTCCTTCCAGCCTTGAAGCCAGGGCTCTGGCTGCTGCTCCTGAGGGCACCACTTCATTCTGGGCAGGCTACCTCCTGAACCACCGTCCAACACGGCACCTCCTCAGTACCAAGGCTCTGTCACACTTCACGGCAGCTGACTCCATGCTGGCCGCTATTTCACTAAAGCAAATGCTGCAGAATTTACCACTCTTTAAGAAAGACCATGTCAAAACATTCGTGTGCTAGTGAAGTCACATTAGCAAGAGTGTTATACAACATCATCCTTTCATTTACTTGTTTATTTTTGTGGACATACTGGGGTTTAGCTCAGGGCTGTGTATTGCTAGCCTGTACAACACCACTGTCACTGGTTACTTTAGGATCATCTTACTCTGGAGGCATCCTCTGCCTGCCTTAGGCTTTCTACCTTCCCTGAAATTGAAGAACGCCATCATGCCCTACTCCCCTCCAAGGGGATGAAGTCTCACGCGCTTTTCTGCACAGGCTGGCTTGGCACCAAGATTCTCCCAATCTCAGCCTCCTGTGGAGCTTATAAGAGGCGCAAACCACTGAGCCCAGCTGTAGGTTGAGACAGGGTCTCACAACTTTCTCCCCAGACAGACCTTGGACCAGAAGCTTCCTATTCTCAGCCTCCCAAACAGCTAGAAGGCCACACATGAGCCACCAGCACCCAGCCTTCATTCCCTGTTCACCAGCTGTCAAAGCCATGAGTTAGTTACTGCAGAAGAGATGGGAGTCGCCCAGTACATACATCAGTGAATGGACTGACTGCTTGGCTGCTATCAGTTTTCTATCTGAAATAAAAGGGCACCTGCCTAGCAAGCTCCAGGCTCTCAGTTCAGACCTCTGTACAGCCAAATAATAAAACAAAATTTTAAGGACAAACAAGACCTCTAATGCCGCACAGCTACCTGGGAAGACAGGTAAGCCAGACCATGTGGTACTTGGGCACAGAACCCACCATGGAGATGCACCTTCTCTACCAAAGCATCATGTTATTTTATCTTTGTTTACTTTTGTACATGTGTGTGTGCATGCGTGTATGTGCATGCTAGAACTGGGGCTGGAACTCAGGATCTGAGTGCTGTCCCTTAATTTTTTCACTCAAGACTGGTACTCTACTACTTGGGCCACAGCTCTACTTGCTGTGTTAATTGGAGGTAAGAGTTTCACAGATTGGTCTGCCCAGGCTGACTTCAAACCTTGATCCTCAGATCTCAGCTTCCTGAGTAGCAAGGATCTTTGAGCATCATTTTAAACTTGTCTCTCCTCTCCTTTCTATACAGTGAAGTTAAAAAGAGCAACTTGGCCAGCTCTGGATTTCTGGGTTGCTAAGGGAGTTAAGTGAGATCATGTGTATGTCTGTAGTCTGTAAGCTACAAAGTACTCTGGCAAATGGAGGTTCAATTATTTTTAATTACCTTTAGCTTTATCATTGTGGTGAGAGCCTGTTCTCTAGCTTGTAATTGTCCTACTTGAGCAGAAAGTTCCACTAATGTGTTGCTGAGATTTTCATTTCTAGCCTACAAAAGAACAATACAGAAAACAGTGAGTCCTTTGATGCGTCCTTTACTGTCACGAGCCTCTGTCTGGGCTCGTTTCTCTAGTCTGTTTGCTGCTTCTTTGCCATGCTGGAGGGACAAAGCTGGCAGAGTAAGCAGCCGTCATGGAGGACCACAGATACCCATGTCATGGTTGCCTCAAGCATGCAAGCACGCTCCCACTGCTTGCATTTAATTGTCATATGGGATTCTATTGGTTATGCTTGTAAGCAAGTTTTACATGTAATTTTAGGTAGAAAAGCAAGAAGATAATGGATGAATGAGAACTGTAATGTATGGGATTTCCTCTGTGAAACGCTAGCCTTCGTGAAGTCTGTGCACCTTCTGTAACTTATTCACTCTATGTGAGCTGCCGACACCAACTCACACAGCTGTCAGGGCCCACAGAGTGTACAACACGGAGTGACCTCATGTAACTGTGGCTTTGAGTGACAACAGGGGATCCATGAGGACTCATTAGCTAAGATAAAATGCTCTGCCATGATGCCGGCCGTCAGGGGGCTTAGTGTGGGTACTGACATATAAGGGAACTGTGCTTCCCACTCAGCTTTGCTATGAACCTAAAACTATCTCTAAAATGAAAGTGTATTAAGAGAGGTATCTTGGCCAGGTGCTGGTGGCTCATACCTGTAAATCCTAGCTAGTCAGGAGGCTGAGATCTGAAGATCATGGTTTGAAGCCAAAAGTGGAGCTGTGGCTTAGTGATAGAGCACTAGCCTTGAGTACAAAAGCTCAGGGACAGTACCTAGGCCCTGAGTTTAAACCCCAGAACAGGCACGCACACGCGCACACACACACACACACACACACACAGAGAGAAAAAGAGAGAGAGAGAGAGAGAGAGAGATACCTTAGAGGAATGGCTCAAAGGTACAGTGCCTGATTAATAAATAAGGCCCTAGGGGCTGGGAAGGTGGCTCAGTGGTAGAGCACTTGCCTTGCATGCCTGAGGCCCTGGGTTTGATTCCTTAGCACCACTTAAGCAAAAAGAAAAAAGCCGGAAGTGGCACTGTGGCTCAAGTGGTAGAGCGCTAGCCTTGAGCTGAAGAGCTGAGGGACAGCGCCCAGGCCCAGAGTTCAGGCCCCACGACTGGACCCCCCCAAAAAAAAAAATAAATAAATAATAAGGCCCTAAGTTCAAATCTCAGTACTGCCACAAACAGCTTTCTTCCTTTTTTTTAATCCAACATATCAATAAGTTCTAGTAAGTGTTTCTTTAAACTTATTTTATAGCTAGCAAATATCTAGAATATGCTATACATGTTTTTATGCCCATAACCTAGCACTTGGGAAGCTGAGGTAGAGGATCAAGAGTTCAAGACAGGGCTGGGCAGGTAGAAGGCTTGCCTTGCATGCATGAGGCCTCAGCACCACATAAACAGAAAAAGCTGGAAGTGGCGCTGTGGCTCAAGTGGTAGAGCGCTAGCCTTGAGCTGAAGAGCTGAGGGAAAGTGCCCAAGCCCAGAGTTCAGGCCCCACGAAAAAAAAAAAAAAAGAGTTCAGGACAGCTTGGACTACACTTTTATAAATTTCAAGTCCCCAAAAAAATAAAAAATAAAATAAATTTCAAGTCCCAAAACATCAAAAACCAGAACCAAAAACAAGTAAATTGCATACTCTTACTATGAATTACTGAGACTCATTACATTATCAAGACCTATCCCAACTATCATTACAAAATAAGAATATGAAAAATGTAACTAAAAAAGCTGGCTTTTTCTCTGGGCCTCATAATAAATACAGTCGAAACATATCTGATGAATGACAAGTTCGAAAACTGAAAATTCACTTATAATCCTCACACTTATAATGGCTCACACTTATAATCCTGGCTCCTCAGGAGGCTGAGATCTGAGACCTAAGGTCTGGAGCCAGCTTGGGCTGATAAATTCAATAAAACAAATCTTATCTCCAATTGAAGTAGAGCTATGGCTCAAGTGGTATAGCACCATCCATGAGCAGAAAAGCCAATTGAGCCAGGCGCTGGTGGCTCACGCCTGTAATCCTAGCTACTCAGGAGGCTGAGATCTGAGGATCACGGTTCAAAGCCAGCCCGGGCAGGAGAGACCGTGAGACTCCTATCTCCAACAAACCACCAGAAAACCGGAAGTGGCGCTGTAGCTCAAGTGGTAGAGTGCTCGCCTTGAGCTGAAGAGCACAGGGACAGCACCCAGGCCCAGAGTTCAAGCCCCACAACTGATAAAAAAAAAAGAAAAGCCAAGTGAGAATTCCAAGGCCTTAATCCATGCCCTACTAGGGGAAGGCACACAGGCTTACATACTAATGCACACACACACTCAGATTTTAATGTAGACACTGAAATCTACTATTTTAGTAACTCACCTAGAATTTGGACTACTACAGCTTATCAAAAAATAAAACTGTGTGGGTTCAGTGGCAAATGCCTGCAATCCCAATACACAGAAAGCAGAGACAGGAGGAGGTCAGCATCAACTACATAACAGGATACAAAAAGTAATAAAATAATGGAAAAAAAATAAGTAAATGAGCAAGCAACCTCAAGGTCTTCTGAGAGGAGCGAGGAGTGTGTGGCTTTCTGGACCATCTCCTGGAGCTGGAGCTGTGTCTTCCGAAGGACCGACTGGCATTCACTCTGATTAGATTCCAAGACTTTCACCTTCTTCATCAGTGACTTGATAATTTCTGATCTTTTCTGCAGTTCACCTGGGGGAAATTTCACCAATAACTTATTTATGTTTTAGACCTGAAACTTAAAATGCTTGAATAGGTTTGTAAAAACCATTGAATTTTTAAAATCAGTAAAAGAGCAAACATCTGCTAAGAAAGACTTAAGGAGGGGCTGGGAAGGTGGCTCAGTGGTAGAGCGCTTGCCTTGCATGCCTGAGGCCCTGGATTCGATTCCTCAGCACCACATAAGCAAAAAGAAAAAGCCGGAAGTGGCGCTGTGGCTCAAGTGGTAGAGCGCTAGCCTTGAGCTGAAGAGCTGAGGGACAGCGCCCAGGCCCAGAGTTCAGGCCCCACGACCGGGCCCTCCCCCCCCCCCCCCGCAAAAAAAAAGAATGACTTAAGGAGTCTTGCAAAATATTTTTTTTTTTTTTGGGTCGTGGGGCCTGAACTCTGGGCCTGGGCGCTGTCCCTCAGCTCTTCAGCTCAAGGCTAGTGCTCTACCACTTGAGCCACAGCACCACTCCCGGCTTTTTTCTTTTTGCTTATGTGGTGCTGAGGAATCGAACCCAGGGCCTCATGCATACAAGGCAAGAGCTCTACCACTGAGCCACCTTCCCAGCCCCTCTTGCAAAATATTTTATTGTGAAATACACAATACTAAATCATCAAGTACAACAGTGGGCCAGGTGCAGTGGCTCACTCCTGTAATCCCAGTGGTAAATAGATGGAAGTGGGAGTATCATGGCTCAGGCCCAAAGCATGGAAAAAAGCAAGAACCCATCTCAAAATCCTAGCTATTCAGGAGGCTGAGATCTGAGGATCACGGTCCAAAGCCAGCCCAGGCAGGAAAGTCCATGAGACTCTTATCTCCAATTAGCCACTAGAAAACCGGAAGTGGAGCTGTGGATCCAGTGGTAGAGCGCTTGCCTTGAGCTGAAGAGCTCAGGGACAGCGCCCAGGCCCTGACTTCAAGCCCTATGACCAGCAAACATAAAAAAAAAAAAAAGTTGAACACAGCTGTGCATAGCTGCAATTCCTGCTACTCAAGAACCTATAACCCCCTTGTCTTTACCACCAGAGGGCTGTGTCGTGGCACAGGCACATACCACCTCTCAGCACTAGGACTTCTTTTTTTGGGGGGCGAGGGCAGTCTTGGGGCTCTGTCCCTGAGCTTCTTTTGCTCAAGGACAGTGCTCTATCTCTTGAGCCACAGCACTACTTCCAGCTTATTCTCTTTAGGTGGTACTAAGGAATTGAACCCAGGGCTTCATGCAGGCTAGGTAAGCACTCTACCACTGAGCCACTCTCCCAGCCTCATCCCTGACATTTCTTAAAGCATGTGTAGGGCTGGGAAGGTGGCTCAGTGGTTTGATTCCTCAGCACCACATAAGCAGAAAAAGCCAGAAGTGGCATTGTGGCTCAAGTGGTTGAGTGCTAGCCTTGAGCTGAAGAGCCGAAAGACAGTGTCCAGGCCCAGAGTTCAGGCCCCACAACATAAAAATCCATGTGTAATATCCACTTTCCAAACCAAATGGTAATCAGGTCTGATTCTTTTTAACTTCCAAGACTAGACCAGATGGGTGCTGTTAGGGTGATGTGGCTGGCATTGACCCTATATCTTTGCCAGCGGTTCTCCTGCCAGATGCCGGTGGCTCCCGCCTATAATCCTAGCTACTCAGAAGGCTGAGATCTGAGGATCACGGTTCAAAGCCAGCCCAGGCAGGAAAGTCCATCAGACTCTTATCTCCAATAAACCACTAAAAAATCAGAAGTGGCACTGTGACTCAAGTGGTAGAGTGCTCACCTTGAGCTGAAGAGCTGAGGGACAGCACCAAGCCCAGAGTTCAAGCTCCACGACCAACCAAAAAAAAAAAAAAGGTTCTCCTTATGGTTTATTTTTTATTTTTTGTCAGTAATGGGGCTTGAACTCAGGGCCTGGGTATTGTCCCCTGAGCTTTCCTGCTCCAGGTTAGCACTCTACCACTTTGAGCCATAGCTCTATTTCCAGTTTTCTGGTGGTTAACTGGAGATAAAAGTCTCACAGACTTTCCTGCCTGGGCTGGCTTTAGTAGCCTCCTTTAGTAGCCTCCTTAGTAGCTAGAATTACAGGCATGAGACACCAATGCCTGGCTTTCATTATGGTTTTGATTTGCATTTTCCTAATGACAAATAAGGCCTTTAAATATACTCATTGGCCACTCAGATTTGTCTTTCTGTGAAATGCCTATTTCAGTGTTCTTTTTTTATTCATTTAATTTAGGGACTAGGAATACAATGCAGGGCCTGCTGCACCCGGGGAAGGAAGCACTCCATCACTGAGCTTCACTCTAACCTCTACTGCTCCTCTTAAAACTAGCTTTTTTTGTGTGTGTGTGTGTGGTTGTTGTTTTTTGTCGGCCATGGCACCTGAACTCTGGGCCTGAGTTCTGTCCTTCAGCTCTTCAGCTCAAGGCTAGCGCTCTACCACTTGAGCCACAGCACCACTTCTGGCCTTTTCTGTTTATATGGTGCTGAGGAATTGAACCCAGGGCCTCATGCATGCAAGGCAAGCACTCTACCACTAAGCCACCTTCCCAGCCCCTAGATACACAGTTATAGCCTACATTATATAGGCTCTTTGTTCCTCAACTCCTTTATATGTTATACTGAACCCAAAAGGCCAACTCTTGGCAACTACCCTACCACTTAAGCCATGCCCCCAGTCCTTTTCCTGTTTTTCTGATGGCATCTCATGCTTTTTGCCCAGGCTATATCACCTCTAGCCCTTATTTTATCAATGAGGTCTCCTATGGATGCCCCGAAGCTGGACTGAGCTACAATTTTCCTATTTCTGCTATATAGCTGGGATGGCATCTATGCATCACCACTCTCAGCTTCTGAAATGCATTCTTGCAAATATTTTTCCTGGGCTGGCTTTACATGACGTTCCTCCTGATCACCACCTTCCCAGTAGCAGGGATTACAGATGTGCATGACCACATCTGGCTTTATTCACATTCTGGCCCCAAAGACCTTGATATTCAAGCTAGGCTTGTTCCAGTTTAGTTTAGTTTTTGGGTCCGGTCGTGGGGCCTGAACTCTGGGCCTGGGCGCTGTCCCTCAGCTCTTCAGCTCAAGGCTAGTGCTCTACCACTTGAGCCACAGCGCTACTTCCGGCTTTTTTCTTTTTGCTTATGTGGTGCTGAGGAATCAAACCCAGGGCCTCATGCATGCAAGGCAAGCACTCTACCACTGAGCCACCTTCCCAGCCCCCCAGTTTTGCTTTTGTGATGAGCATGCTAAGCAAGTGTTTACCATTGAGCTATGTCCCCAGCCTCCACTCCAGTGTCTTAATTCCTTGGTCCTGCTTTATTTGTGTCGGTTCAATGTGGCTATTCATAAAGCCATCCTGTCTGTAATAAGGCTAAATCCTAGGGGCAGTCTTTTATTTCTTCATTTTCTCCACAGGCCTCCCTGGCTGGAGGCCTCCCTACCTTCTAATTTGCTGCAACGTTCTTCCAGAGTCAACACTTTCTGCCGATCTTCTTCCCATGAAAGCAGCTGTCTTTGATGCACCGTGACCATATCATTGAGCTCTTTATCTCGGTCTTTTAATTCTCCAATGAGCAGCTGCAGCTCCTTCCGTTGTTTCTCAATAGTGGAATTCTCAACTTCTGACCCTGTGTTCTAAAAACAGTAGGTGGTTTTACATCCAATTAAAACTAAGTAACACATATGGGCTGAAGTATATTTTTTAAAGAATTCTATTCTTTTGCTGCTAATTCTGAAGTTAAATCTTAATTACTGTTAAGAACAAGGCATCAAATTCTGTTCGTTTAAAACAAGTTCAAACCTAGCATGCACTGTCTCTATCATTTTGTCATACCTCATACAATTCTAAAAAAATAAATATAAATTGGCAGTGTTTCCAAAGCCTCCACACACTGGCTCATCACAAACGTATTTCTGATCATTGCCCTTCAGCTTGTCAATTTCCTGTTTCCAATTCCCCTACCTTGCACAGGCAATTTGTGTGCAAGTGTGTGTGTAAGAAGGCTTGAGCTCAGGGTCTGGATGCTGTCCCTTATTTCTGCTCAAGGCTGGCACTCTATCAGTTGAGCCACAGCTCCATTTCTGTCTTTTGGTGGTAAGTCTCACAAACTTAACTGAGGCTGGCTTTGAGCGCCGACCCTCAGATCTCAGCCTCCTGAGTAGGTTGAGACACCAGCACCAGGCCCCTAAACTACATTTTGAATCATGGTCCTACTGAATTACTGTAGTTCCTGTCCATGAAGTGTTATTAAAAGGTCACTAGAGACCCGTGTGCATGATTCCTGCTTCTTGGAAAACTAGATTCGTAAGTAACTGGTGACGAGGACTTCACTTTAGTGACTAGTAACTGAACACACCAAATGGAATTTGGAGACAAACGATGCCAAGTCCCAGGACGTGAATTCGTCTCCGGTCGGCCGAGCACGAAGCCGTGCACTCATTCCTTCAACCAGTAGGACGCGGGGCGAGCGGCTGCGGGCCCGCCGGGCCGGGCCGCGGCTGCGGG